AGGTAATGCAGGATTTATATTATCAACCGTAGGGCTACTGTTAAGGTCCTAGTATGTCTATATTGCTATTCCTGAGTGGGGGCCGTACCCAAGGGAAACCCAAACAAAAACAAAGCCGAGATGCAATTTTGCTCATTGCTTCCCTGTTCCCTCCTTCAAGGTCTTCTGAAGTGTGCCGACTTGAGATCTGACAACCCTGTTACTATAGCCCCCCCCTTAGAAGCATAATAATAGTAATAATAATCATCATATCAATAATGATAATAATAATAGTAATAGTATGTGTTTTAGTATTCTCTTGGGCCTTATATGAACCAAAATACCAGAATCATTCCTAAGAAGACTAGGTTATCGCCCATCTTCGATCTGCTACACCCGTGGGCCCGCAGGGTTACAGCACCTTTTCGATCTTCTTACTTAGGGTTTAGGGCGGCTGCTGCATCTAATGACCAGCTCTTGACTTAATATCGAAAGCTAAAAACCAAGGTTTGACATGCAAAGACAGCGTTGGGCGGCAGTGTTGGCTCTCCCCAGGCTTCTTTTGACGTCCCACCCTTTCGGCTTTGCCGACTGGAACGATCAGAACTCGAGATGCAGTGCCATCATAGCCTACATCTCCAATGCTGCTGAGGGGTTTAGGGTTTAGGGGTTTGGGGTTTAGGATCCACCTTGGGCTGTGTTATGGCTGACAAGGGCTGGGCCATTGCTCTTGCGACCTTCCCGTGTGCTAAGAGACTTCGAAAGATGCAACTGTCACGTTGTAAAGCGCTTTGATTGAGTAACTAATGCAAAAACCTTGCAGTTAAACCCGAGACCCTACCAGTATTATGCCATTCTTCCAGGGCTGGAAACCTTTTGGTGGCTATATCTTCAAACATCAAAACTACAAATGTTTCACGGCTCAGTCCCACAGCACAGAAGCTCCGCCACGATCACCTGGGGAATGACCAGATTGGGGGTCCTGGGGGCGTGGGACTTCGAGATGGTTCTGAGCATGTATACTTGGAGGTTCATGGGTAGTTATAAGTGGGGTTACAAGTCCCCTAATATGGGTTATAAGTTATAAGTATAGCTACCCTACTTATAACCCTACTTATAACTACCTCTGTTGCATTTCCGCTACGGCATCACCCTAAACCCTAAACCGGTTTAGGGTTTAGGGCATCATGCCAAAGTCAGACGCAGGGAGCTAGGGCGCTCTTTTCCTAAACATCTTTGGGGCTCTTCAACATCAAAGGTGCCGACGCGAAACACAAACACGACACATCAGGAAGTGTATGGAGGGGAGGGTGGGGCTCTGTCTATACTATTGTGATTTAACATGCTATGATATCATACATCATCCTGTCGCTGTGCGAGGGTATTGACATAAATCCTCAAGTAAAGCTTCTGCAGGCCCTTCAAGAAGGTAGCTAAACTTCAGGGCCAAGTATATCTAAACCCTAAACCTCCATAACCAAAACCTATCAAAGGAAAACCCCTAAACGCCGTTTCTAATCCAATCAGCGCACCTTGGCGAAGCGCCTCGCCGGCGAGTGGTGGAAGCACCGTGAGTGGGCTAAGGCCGTAACCTGAGAGGTTTAGGGTTTAGGGTTTAGGGGTAGCCAAAAAAGACCTACTCATTTCCGGTTCCTTACTAGGCTTTCTATATCTGAACCCTTAAAGAAAGTAGGCTATGTAGGGTTTAGGGCTGACATTTAGAGCCCGAAGGTCAAGGCAATAATGTTCTGAGAACAATGTTGTCACTATAAGGTTACTTTTGTAATGCTGACATTGGCATCATGCTCCATACTTGGAGGTTCATGGGTAGTTATAAGTGGGGTTATAAGTCCCCAGATGCGGGTTATAAGTATAGCTACCCTACTTATAACCCTACTTATACCAACCCATGAACCTCCAAGGAGGCCCTATAAACCCGATACACTTATAGAATTCCTATAGATCCCTTTTAAAGGGACCCATAAAGGAGCACTAAGAACTAATTACCCATGAACCTCCAAGTATCATTTGCGTGACTACGGTTAAGTACTGATCGGTGACCAAACTGTCGCAGGTGGGGTCTCGGGGTTCGGAGTTTTGGAATTTGGGTTTAGGGTTTAGGGGTTTAGGGTTTAGGGGTTTAGGATATTACAAAAGGTTTCGACCTGGACACAATACCTGACAAATGGTAGGCTTAGGATTCAGGGTTTACTGAAGTGAACTACCTAAACGGCTCGAGGATGATGAGGTCCCATCTGTCTGGATTCTAGTTAGAAGCCTAGTCCTACATTCCAGTTACTAAACCCTCAATTCTCTCTCTCTCTATATATATATACATATATATACAAGCAGATATAGATATATATATACAGATATAGAAACAGATATAGATATAGGCCCGAGCCCTAGAACTCCCAAGCCCGACCTGGAACCCACAAGTACATAGAATAATAAGAGCCTTTTAAAGGTCTTGGGCCATTGTTTGCGTACTTTGGGGCATCTGGCGGACCCCAAACTCCACAACCCTCGCTGTTAACTCTGACCCCTGATTTCTAAAAATCTCAACCGGGACCCGGTACATGTAGCCAAACCCTAAACCCTTAAACCCTAAACCATAAGCCCCTGAACCCCTAAACCCTAACCCCCTGCAGCCAAAGTCGCGGAATGTGACAGAAAGTCGGTCACGGGGCGAAGAAAGGACCTGTGCAGGGCCTGTTTGGTATTCTGTCCGTGGATTAGGAAGATTTAGACTTAAGCTGTAGGCTCTATATAGGATCTACTAAGCCGACATTCAAACTTGAGGTCTATCATGTGCAAACCCAGACTCAAGTATTGCATTGTTTCGGATTCTGGATGATTGAACAACCCAGATTGAATTCAGAACGAGGGTTCGAAGCTAAGTCTTCTCGGAGACGCTTTCCCTTCAAGCTGGGAATTCAGGGTTGTGGATTCAATCTGGAGGTTCATGGTTACCTATACGTGGGGTTATAGGTTCCCTAATATGGGTTATAAGTATAGTTACCCTACTTATAACCCTACTTATAACTACCAATGAACCTCGAAGTAGAGGCTGCAACCCCAAATCTGCAAACGAATTGGGATCTTTGCACCTCGTGCTCGACGTAGTACCGAGCCTGGGCATTTAAGTCTACGTAGGGCTTCGGGTTTAGGTCGTATACAGGCGGCGTAGGGTTTTAATATGAAAGAATAGAATGAAACTGATGCTTTGCTTTGTACTTCAACAGCAGAGTTTGGGCTTGCTTTGGGGTGTTGGGATACTTGGGATTTGGACATGAGGGTTCGGGGCTGCCACGCTCGCATGTAAGGTTGCGAAGGTCTGGCTACTCAGTCTTGAAATAGCCCTTCTGGTCAACCCTATATATATATATATATATATATATATATAGATTCTAGAACATGGAAGAGTAGCGTTCATGTCAGCTAATGCAGTTTAACGTTCGGGACGTTTGCGCGATTGACTTTGGTGGGAGATCGAGATTCTCTCGGTGGAGGCCCAAACCTGAAATCCCGAAAACACCCAATCCTCGAGCCAGGGCATCATTTCGAATCGGCTACATGGCTGCAGTTCTGGCTGCAGCTAGGGCTAAGGACGCTGGGGTTGTAGGGTTTAGGTTTAGGGTTTACTTGGAGGGTCAGGGGACTTAGTAAGTAGGTAGTAAGTAGACTTATAAGTACCCTAGAAGGGACCCTAATCGGGGCTATGGTACTTACGTATAAGTCCCTAAAATAACCAGTTACTAAGTCCCCCGACCCTCCAAGTAGGGTTGTAGTCTGAAGAGCCGAGGCCCTGACCTCATGGCCCAGGCCAAACCCATTAAACCCGAAGACTCCTTTAGATCCCTTATAAGTTAAGGAATATACCTTAACATATAGTAGGATCCCTAATATGACTTATAAGGTATATGCCTTACTTGAGGGATCTTGGAGTCGCTAAAAATTCTTAACACTGTGGAATCTGGACCCGAAAGCCTTGACCATTGAGCCCATGCACAGGTTCAGGGTTACCCTAAACCCGCACTGAACAGTGCTGAGGCAGGCATCCTAATCGAAAACATTGGCATCCTAATCTAGAAAAGCTGCACACCGGACCTCTACTGCAAACCATGTTCGCCAAAGCAAGTAATGTTGCATCAGCCAAACTGCCCAAACCGGAAGCCCTAAAACGTACACTGGACAAAGCGTAGGTCCTTCCCGAATGAACTGAGGCTACCAGCTACCAGGTATAGGTAATATGCACTGCTACAGGTAAACATCACACTCACACTTTGCGCATGCAGGCATTTCTCCCTCTAGCATCCAGCCGGCTGTCAAAGGTCTCCGCCCTCTCATCGGTCCAGGGGTCGCCCTCTGTGAAGGGACTAAGGGTCCAAGAAAAGCGCGTGAGGTTACCGTTTAAAATTACCGGACGCATGAAATCTCAGCTTACTAAACTGCCCGAAGTTATAATTTATGTCGGTGGGATCGGGTGTGCATTGCCTTCAGCGATAGCCACCCTATGATGGCAATGTCCCAATTGGAACACCACAGCGCGAACGCGTACTTAGTACCGAGGCAACCATCAAAATCTCGAGTCTGCAGCAGCTACTATGGTGGGGGCTCCTTATGATTATTGTACTGGGTTCATTATAATGAATATACTGTAATGGGCACCCAAGCCCTGGTTTACATTGCCAGTCGTCGTGTAACCCTTTCATCCCCTGACTTCAACCGCCGAAGACTGGTATGTCCCAAGAGACGGACACAAGGACCTCTGGGACGCTGCAAGAGACTGTACACTTGCACATGCTGAGACCCATAGCTGCCATAGCTACAGAGGCAGCTGCACTGTAGCTCAGCAGGACTTCCAGGCTGTATTGTGAAAGAACCCGCCTAGAGGCACCGGAATGTATCTAAGGAGGGTGTCATCTATGTGAGCTCATGCATGCTGGGTAGACGAAATCCATGAATGCCGTTATCCCCAATCCCTCAACCCCGAACTCCAAACCAAAGCGCTGCTGCATTCACTCGTTCTCTTGTGCGAGGATGGCTTCGGCAATGGCCTTTCCCATCCTGGGGTTTTCAGTCGCAGGTTTGCGCGGTCTTCCGCAGACGGGACCCTCTCTTGCTGAAACTCTCACGTGAAGAGCTGCCCAGGTCGAGGGTCTTGCGGGTTTAAGGCAAGGAGTGTGGTGGATGGGTCGAACAGGGTTTGTCTGCGAGTTCGGTGTGAACCGGTTTCAGCTCTCTAACGCGGGCTTCGAGCCGTCTGAATATAAGGGTTTCGGTCTCAGACCGTAACGAGTTTGAAAGGGCCTCGGAAATTTAACCAAGGATTTGTTGCTGAACTGCGATGCGTCAGAGTGTCTTTTGTCCACCTTTCTCGCTTGGCTCCACCCGGGCAACGTAGTCCGTGGTGTCCTCGAGACAAACTCTCACAGCCCTAAGGCGGTCGTAAGGCTTACGCTAACCCCGAAGCTACCGTCTTAAGGGCTGGTAGAGAAAATCATAAGCCTCAAGTTGGTACTGCTTGTAGCCGTTAGACCCCAAAGTTTGGAGTTTTTTGGAGTCTTACAGAGATTGTCGCTGTGCGTTATAAGTCTGGTGGGATCAGGCCTTCCCATCCAGGACTTCGTAGAGTGGCAGCGGCACGATCGTCACGTCGGGGATGGAAAGCTGCGAGACACCCCAGGAATACACCTGGAAACTTGTCATAGGATAGAGGCTTCGCAGGGATGCAGCGGGGCTTCGCGGAGACCTAACCAGTCAGGTTTTTCGAGGGTTAAGCTGAAAACTAAACCAAAGCCGGAGACAACAAATCCCACAATACATCTGGACTCCCAACTACCCTTTACTGCAGCCCCTAGTTGCCTCTTCATGACAGGTTATCAGAGCCCTACAAAGGTTGTACTTGGTGGGGGGTGCGGGGGTCCTGGCAAGGGGACTATACTTCCTATTTAACCCAAAATAAGGACTTAATATGAAGGCCCCCTACCCCCCCTCCACCCTACCCCCCTCACATTACTTATTATGATGAAGGGCAGAGATGAAAGCTTCGGCTCGCTGGTGTGGTGTGCGCGCTCGCGTAAACCTTCTATGCTTCAGATCTTTTGTGCCTTCGACTGCTAAGGTTCCATATTTAGCTTGCTAACGCTCGCAGCATATGCCCGGGGTTGGAGTTAAGTAGTTTAGTTTCTTCATGGTCTAGGCTGCGGGGTGAAAGAGAATACGTCATGTGCAAGGTGGTTCTGCATGAAATCAGAGTATTCCCTAAGCCCTAAACCCTGAAGTCCATATACTACTATAGAGTTGATCTAGTATTTCTGAAGCCTGTATTGCACCCTACTGACTGCAAACTGCCCTTGGATCCTTGGCTTTAAGATTTTACGGGCGAAGGATTAGGCTTCAGGGTTGAGGGTGTTGGACCCTGGTCTAGCAATTGAGAGTTCAGCGTTGAGGCTTTGTTCTTTTAGCGCAATGGGACCTCGGATGCGGTTCCTGCTCATGCGAGCATAAGCTGACAGGGTGCAGAATCTATAATCGGGTATAGGAAGAGTTTAGCTGCGAAGCCCAGATGCCCAGCACACTAGGTGAATCGAACACTGGGTTATGATAAGCCCTTTATTAAAATCCAGACCGGACCCTAAAACCTCTGGAGTCACACACACACACATAACGATATGTATGTGGTTGTAATATATATATATATATACACACATATGATATGTGTGCATGCCCACAAATCCTGTCAGCACGGAACCCCGACAGCGCCGCACGCCTGTCGCATCACGGTCTGCAGCTTGTCAGGATTCGTGTTCTCGGCTGCCGTTTATGGTCTAGCGTTGAAGCAGATCCGGATTTGGGGTTACGAGGAAGATCATGGGCAATGGCGCCATCGAAATCTGACGGTTGGCTTTGGGCAGCTTTGCTTCACCCTGCATGCGAGAGTACCCAGTTTGAAGGTTAGGATCGATCGTGCAACAAGTTAACGCGAAAAAGCGTTAGGGTGTGACCCCATAGGTAGGGTTAAAGTCGGAAGGCAAAAACTCTGGCACGAAGACCCTGCTTGGCGAATCTAGTTGGCAGACGCAGTACTACTCAGGACCCCCAAATAAGGTATCACTAAAATTCGGAAACCCTAAACCCCTATAGTAGCCCATTGAAGGAACCCTTATACTGCCCTTATACTCATCGAAGTCTCGGCATCCAAGGCCATTCCCCAACACTCCCAGAAACTCCAGAAAACCCTAAACCCTAAGCTTGCTGAAGTCTCTGAGTAGGCATGTTATGCAGGGGCTTCACTAGGTTGGCCCTTTAAAGCCTCTGCTAAAAAAATTGCAAATGGGGTCCTATTCCGCCCAATAAGGGGGAAAAAAAAAGATCCCAAAGGCCTACATAGTTTAGCTCTTAGAATCGGCAGGCTTTTTCTGATTCAACCCCAAAGTTTCTAGCTACTGTTGATGATATAAATCCTGCATTACCTTAAGGACCCTAAACTATGGGATTTATGATATATTCCTTATCCCCAAGGGTCCAAGTACGTAATAATCATATACTCTCCAAAATCCTAAACTACATAACTACTATCCCAAAACCGAGTACCTAATTACTGGGTCCTTTGGACGCTTGGGGTCTTATGGGTAATGCAGGATTTGTATCATCAACTCTAAACCCTAAACCCTATAGCTCCCTTAAAGGAACCCCTTAAAGGTACCCTTATAGATCCCTTTAAAAGAACCCCATCAACCCTAAGTGCTGCCATGGAGGCGTAGCCGAGAGCCTGCAGGGTGCCATCGGCCCAGCTCCCCCCTTGCCAGGACGTCTAGGGTTTAAGGTTCAAGGGTTTAAGGGTTAAGAGTTTAGGGTTCAGGGTTTAGGGTTCAGGGGTTTAGGGCTTAGGGTTCAGGGGTTTAGGGTTTAGGGGTTTAGGGTTAAGGGGCTTAGGGTTTAGGGGTTTGCTATTAATATAGGGGCCTTAATAATTTAGAGTAGGGTTTTGGGGCCCATAATACTATACCTATAATAAGGAACCCCCCAAAATAGTACAGGTAATTCTTAAGGCCCCTATAGTAGGGCTTTAGGGGTTTAGGGTATGGTTTGTGTAGTTACAAGGTATATAGGGTTCTGGGCTCAAGCAAAACAATTTCTACAACGTCATGGTTTGAGGCCATTCAAAGCCTGCACGAGTTTAAGCTCTAGTATAAGGGCTCAAAGACATGTCGAACCTCGCCGAGGCGTAGATTGTCGCGCACTTTAGGGTTTAGGAGTTTGGGGTTTAGGGACTACACCATAACATGGATCCAAAACCGTCGCCTGAGAGAAAAGATTCCCAAGCCTGGGGTTTCATCCAGGTAGTAAAGCATGCAGACGATGATCCTGAGCCGGGAACTGCAGCTTCTTTCAGCTTCGGGTTTTAGGGCTAAGGACTTGAGGGCTTCGGGGCGGTAGGACTTGAGGGCTTCGGGGCGGTAGGTATATTGTGGTACATTGGAGTATATTATATGATATTATGATATCATATATGATGGTATATTACATTATAACTTATAACACCTGCCAGCACCCTGAGCCCGGAATCCAAAGGATCCTCAGTGAACCTGAACTGGCAACCCACCTCAGACAGTTCCGTGTACGACCTGCTCCCTGCTTTCAGGGTCCATCGCCGTCTTTTGCCCCAGTTTGTCTTGGAACACAGTGAGAAAAGCATGGCAGGGCCGCTACTTTCGTACGTTAGCATTGTTCAACATAGCGTGCCCGTTATGATGCTATGCGGAGCAACGAAAACGCAAAACAACTTGCTGATTTTCCATGCGTATGTTAGCATTGTGCATCATGGCGTCCCGTTCTGGTGTGTGGTTCAACATGGCATCCCCATTAGGGTGTTAAGCGAAGCAAAAAATGCGAAAACAACTCGATGTTTACTGCGTGGTCGGAGTTGTTGATTAGAGAGGCAGTGCAACGGCAGGACTGGTTCGGGCATGGATGCACTGGCCAATGGTTGGGGCTGGTAGCATGAACCTTATCATGGTTTGGGCATGGATGCATTGGCCAATGAGTGGGCTGGTAGCATGGACGTTATCATGGTTTGGGCATGGATGCACTGGCCCCAATGAGTGGGCTGGTAGCACGGACATAATCATGGCTTGGGCATGGATGCACTGGTCATTGAGTGGGCTGGTAGCATGGACGTTATCATGGTTTGGGCATGGATGCACTGGTCATTGAGTGGGCTGGTAGCATGGACGTTATCATGGGTTGGGCATGGATGCACTGGTCATTGAGTGGGCCTTTTAGCATGGACGTTATCATGGTTTGGGCATGGATGCACTGCCCAATGGATGGGTCGGTGGCATGGACGTTATCGTTTCGTTTCGGCAATGCAAACCTCAGCGACAGAGAAAGCGGGGCAAACGAGGGTGATGGAGCCTGAATTCAGACATCCGCTGAACCCTAAATTCCAAATTCTAACCCTCAATCCTAAACCTCACACGCCAGCCAAAGCTCTTCTTGGGCTTTGTCTTGGCGGTCAGCTTCTCGATGATCCTGTCCCCAGACATACGGAAGTGCCACAACTCAGATGGGAGGTTTGCACTTCCCTGTTTTTGACTATGAACGAAATCTTCAAAGGGTATGGGTAACTTAAGGCACCAGACCAGAACGCCCCCCGCCACCCATCACAAACGCGGCCCGTATGCTGACCTTGCAAGACATCCCGGCCAGCACAAGACACAACAGCAGACTCGTGGGAAAGCAGAGCGCAATTAACTGCCTCGACCTACCAGAAACAAAGAGTTCAATCAGCATCGAGTCCTTCCTCTTGCCAAAGGTTCAAGCAGAGAAAACAAAAACCGCATACCTTCGAAATGCGGTGTCTGGTGCCTGGCCCCGAAACCCTGTAGCTACACTGCACCCCCCCCCGAAATCTGAACCTAGTCGGAAAAGCAGCCCAAGGCGACTGCTCACAAGAACACCTGCCGGGGCGATCCTAGAATTCGACTTGGAGGGTCGGGGGACTTAGCAACTGGTTATTTTAGGGACTTATAAGTACTATAACCCCAATTAGGGTCCCTTTTAGGGTACTTAAAAGTCTACTTACTACCTACTTACTAAGTCCCCCGACCCTCCAAGTAGGACCCCTACGACGGCCTTCTCAGGCGCACCCGGAACATGTAGATGAAGTACCAAAGACCTGCAGAGGTCTACTAGGTGGCAACTTGGGAAACTTTTTAATTTCCCTTATGGTTCCTATAGAGGTACCTATTCATAAATACTTTCCAGAGCCCCAAAACTACAACCCTGTCTAGTGTTTGAGAGGTACAGGGCTGGCTTGACTCTTTGTGGCCCATGTAAGTTCCGTCGGGCCAGTGCTGCCCAAAATCAAGGCCCAAGCCCTCAAGCTCTGTGAAACGGATCTCGGGGGCGCATACATGCATACCTACATACATACATACACATACGTACATACACCAACACACTTGCACACACTCATACACAAACACATGCTTATATGCATGGACAGCACATATACATATACATATACATATACATATACATATACATATACACATACATATACATATACATATGCATATACGTATACATATACATATACATATACGTATACATATACATATACATATACATATACATATGCATATACGTATACATATACATATACATATACGTATACATATACATATACATATACATATACATATACGTATACGTATACGTATACGTATATATATATATATATATGTGTGTACACACACCTATATATATATATGCATGGGTCCAGCCATACATACTCACATCATGCGTACATACATAGTTACACACATACCAGAGCAAGCCTATTCCTATCCCTGCTCGCTAAGTCTGCCGATGAAGCACACTGCCTACTACCTTGCCACGCATTACAGCACTGAAACCCTAGTCAAGTCCCCCACCAGTCCCAACGGGAGGTTCTTCACAACTTGAAGACAAGATTCTTCAACTACCGGGCGCGAACATTGGACTGAAAGCATCGATACCTGCTCAAGACGGACCGCAAATATTCTGGTGTATGAAATAAACGAAAGACCGCTGAACTCTACGAGCCTAGTGAAAAACGGGCTGTGCAGAAGGCAAGAGTCCCTCCTTGTTCCCCACTAAAAGCCAGGAAAGCGTTCTTGAAGAACAACTAACGAAGGATCGCTGAACTCTACCAGTACCAGACTAGCTGAGGATGGTGCCCGGAGCGAGGAACGGACCGCATCGGATCAGGCATGTGGGTGTCAAATAGAGCAGCCAAGCCATATGTACCTGAGGCTCTACATACGGATGGATACTGTAAGGCTTTCTGTTACTGACGGTGCGTGTAGGCTATCAGCAGACGTAAAATCCTATTTGGAGTCGGGGCCCTTCTCAGCTTACTGGTACCTTGTGAGCATTCTGAGTAGTAAGGGCGAAGGTAATACGTTTGATCTGGCACTTGTTCAGGATAACTCTCTGTCTTCAACATCCAGACCTTGCTCCCAAAGCCGGAGCTCTTTGTGTTTATATGCCTGTACTATAGCTATTCTGATCATTCGACAAAGTCTGTCCGACCTGTCCCCCTTGATTGTACTTCTTCCAAAAAAGGGCATGTGCCAAAAGGGCCCTCGGTTACAACACGTCCCATTTCTGCGTTGCCTTTTCAGAGCCTAGAGGGCAACGTCTTTCACCGACTGCGGGTTCGGAATACCGGGGATGAATGTTGATGCTGTCACCATTGAAACTGTTGATGGCGATGATGGCCATGGCTATGGCTGCAGTGATTTGGATTCACACGGTGCTGCTGATGATGGCAGATCACAGCAGCTTTGAATACATTAACCACGGCTCATGCATCATCGCTTCCCCTTATAAGAACCCCGTTACAGCCCCAGGAACCTTCGTGTCCGAACAGACCTCATGTAGAGTCCGTAACAGCAATTGACTTTGAACTCTTGCAAAGCGGAGGTGCTATCAGCCAACATGTGGGCCGCAAGGCCACGTCATTGCCGCCCATGTCAACCACAAGAACATCCTCCTGATGGGAATCTAGGCCTAACCCCTAAACATCCCTAAACCGTAGGGTTTAGGGTTAAGGGGAGCTCAATCCGGAACCCCGGAGCACAGACAAACGAAGCCAGTGCGGTCGACAGTGGCTTAAGCGGGGTTCGAGCTGTTTTAAGCCTGACAGCGTGAACGAGCTGCAACTCCACGGAAATGTCCTGGAAGCCACAAGCACTGATTGAACAAAAACCGATTTAGACTTCGGCTGCAGCCACAAGTAAGGACCTAAACTGCCCTAAACTATATACCCTAAAGCCCTACACAATTCAGAAATGCCAATCCTCGCGGAGATTGTCCCGAATGAACTTATCTTGATCCAGTAGCCCACCCACCTCGAAGAGGGCAGATTATGGATTTTGGAAGGTTTTCGAGTTAAGCATACTAGAGCTTAAGGGCTTTGTAAGTACGGCAGTAGGGATTCAATGAGCTTACGGCTTTGGACTCAATAGCGAGTATGATTACAAATAAGACTTACAGTGGTCACATGAGATAAAGTTTGTTGGCGTGACACATGCGATGGTCCAAAGAAAAACAATAACACCACAACACACGTTCACACTGACCGCACAAACACGAATCTTGTCGGACATGTTGGTGACCAACTGTTGGTGTTGGTGTCCATGACACCAAGATTGTGGTAAACACTTGTGCTTTCTGGCATACATGTGGAACAGGATCGGGTTGAAGCTTTGAGGCATGGTGGTGACGGCGAAAGCTATTCCCTGCGCGGCCGGATGATTGATGTCGAAGACAACATCAGTACGAGAGGCGCTTCAAGAATCCTCGGCCCTTGACTTGCAAACTACCACAGCAGCACCCCAGCCCTGATCCGATCGGAGTTCTTTAATCGCATTTTTGCACCGTCCTACTTTTTTATGGTGTCTAGTGCACCTCCGTTTTCGGCTGTGCTTCAAAGTCTTTGGCATACTATGCCCGCAAGCTTCGGAAAGCGCCGCAAACTTTGTCGTCACGAAAACGGCCACGATACAGGGTTCGGGCTCAGGGTGTTCAAAGTTCGAAAGCAGGTGTTTTTCCCAATGCAGTTGGTTAGGCTCGAACCTCAGGAACCACGGGCAGAGCCACGATTCGGAACTTGGTTCCGGCACTCGCGTTTTAAAGGTTTCGGGTTGTTTGTGCGTTTGAAGCATTCGGGTTAAAGCGACAAGTTGAGGATTCAGGGTCACTTTGGGAACGCAAAGCATACAGCACGTGCCTCCCGCTGCACGATGCAGGATTCCTGCGGAGTTCGAGGGAACCAACTTGAAGATGATTTCACGCTTCGGTTTGCTTGCGGGATGCTGGAATGTTTGACAAGAAAAAAATCAGGGCTGGGTTCGCGTAAAAACCTGTGCGTGCAAACTTCACGCACGTATGCATGATCTTGTCAACTTGTCAATGTAATTATCAGGCAATGCCTCAGTGTTTTGCGAAGGATACTGCAGCGTGTTTAGACATGATTCTAGCATGCTGGGACCACAGGTGTCGCATCTCAGCCGAAAATGCTGGCACGTCGCTTTTGGCGATGCTAACAGAAGCTCTGTGACTGTGAAAAGCTGTCGCCCTGCTGCCTTCAAGAGACCGTCTGGCGTAACTTCGTAATCGATGTGGCTTATGCGGGACTCGCTTACTCGAGAGGTTGGAACTTGACATGTACACTTTCCAAACAGTACAAACATGTGCCGCGAAACGTAGAACATTAAAGGTCAGGCGCATGGCGTCCGACTGTCGTGCCATCTTTCAAAAGGATTCGGCCATCATGTTTGAAGAGAACACCATGCAAGTATCGCGGATGAAGAACGACCTGGCTGGGATGATCTTACGTGTCGAACTCGGCTGCAGGTTCAATATGGGGTTGGGCCGACAGAGGAAAAACGTGCCATCAGAGCAAGCCAGTGTAAACCTGCTTCGGCTCTCAAAATAGATGCGGCTGATGATGCAAAGGAAAAGATCTCGTACTCGAGGACCTGCTCGTGGACCACTGCTTGTTTGTGTAACGTCAATGCTATCCCAGGGCTCTCGCATCTGCCCCATCCAAAACTATAGTTTAGAAGGGGCCCCCACCCTGTAATAGTGGCATAATAGGAATATAATAAGGCCCCAATATCATCCTTATAGTCACTATTACAGGGTGGGGGCCCCTTCTAAACTATAGTACAAGGGTTTTAATGATTAGAATAAGGTTTCGGGGGCTCATTTTACTATACCTCTCATAAAGAAGCCCCAAATAGTATAGGCAATGATTTAGGCCCCTAAAGTTTAACTTTAAGGGGCCCGATAATACCGACCTTTACAGGTACCCTTATAGCACCTTAAACGCCTGTAGACCTCCTGCCCTTGACTTTCCATAGGCATCTAAGGACTCATATATATGATTCATATATGAAAACTCTTGGGCCCAAAGACCATACTATATAAGGCTTTTGGGCTATTTTGATTGGCTGCATGGTTGAGGCATCACCCGGGCCTTAGGGGTGGGGGAGGCGAAAGATGAAACTTGCATTTAAAGACGCCCTGTTAGCCCTATATGTGTCGATGAAATGCAACATATAAATGAAACCTGATATCATGTTTCGTTTACGTACCCCCCTCATGTTTCATTTTGAAGGGTGGGGCCATGTTGAGGCACTACTACTACTACTACTACTACTACTACTACTACTACTACTGCTACTACTACTACTACTACTACTACTACTACTGCTACTACTTCTACTTCTACTTCTACTTCTACTTCTACTTCTACTTCTACTTCTACTACTACTACTACTACTACTACTACTACTACTACTACTACTACTACTACTACTAGCGACCAGTACCACTAGCACTACTACGACTATGACGACGACTACAAGTACGACTACGACTGCGACTATGACTACGACTACGCCGACGTCGACTACTTCCTCCTGCTGTCAACAAACAGAAGACTATTACATTGCTTACTCTTAGCGTTGCAGCGGCGACTTATCATCGTCTTTCCGCAAGACGTTCGATTCCTCCACGGCGCAGTTGATGCAAGGTGTATTCGCTTGCGGCTGCCTCGGCGTCTGCAAGAAGTAGAAAGTGTTCGGGGTGCACGACCACGAGCAGTACACTGGCAGTCAACCCTTTGAACATCATGAACATGCGGTGATAATTATCAGGCTTTGGGAGTAGGATACTTCTGCACTATGTGAATCTGCACACTTATATTTCTCCCTCACCTGGAGAAGGTGTAGCTGCAATTTCAGCACTGTCCTGCCAAGTTAATTGGGTGCTACTTGGGGAGGGCCCAGGCCTGGTACAGGCGTTTGAGCGAGTTGCTTCTGCCCTCCAACAGCTCAAACCCCAAATCCTGACGCCCAAGATGCCTGGACAATCTAAAGTCCTGAAATGTCTCCGGCCCCCAAAAAGCCCACTGCGCAACAGGTACATGACTGGATAGCAATGCTGCTGACGCTGGTGATGACGACGATGATGACCATGATGCTAGCGATGGTGATGAGTATGATGATGAGAACGGTGATAACCCTGATAATAACGACGATGCCTACGGCGATGATAGCGACAGTGATGGCAATGAACGAAGATGACGACGAGGGTGCTGTCGCTGCTGTCAGCATGGGCCTACAATCCATGGGGCATCTAGGCCGCTAGTGGCCATAGGTGAAACGCTAGCAAAAATGACCTAAGCCCTAAAAAAATCGAAGGTGCCAATTTTCGCTGAGGAGCGCTCGGCTGCACTCTTGGTTGATCCAGTAGCCTTTGCCAGAAACAACGGAGCTTCAGGGGGTGTAGCATTTCAGGGCTGCAGAGGTTTATGGCATGAACATTTGATTGAAGGCTCAGAATCAGAAACTTGGGGCTTCAAGGGTTTTTGGGCTTTCGGGCTTTGGGGCATTTGGGTTTGAGAACACCGGGGAGTATGTAGGGTGCAGGGTAGTACCTTAACCTCTGCAGAGACTCCTCCGTGGTCTCTTGTGAAGCATACCCAGACAAAGTCTAAATATCCAAAAACTGCTCGCAGCATACATGACTTTCAGAATCCAGACGTTATGGGTGGGTACGTTTTGGATAGGGCAAACCTCTGCAACGCAGGGGCCTGAGCAATTAGAATAGGGCTTCGGGTGTACATGAAAGTTGAAAAGGGACTACACAGCGAGCGCACTGATTACTCCACCTCCCAAGGTTGATATACACTGCGACTGCCACTACCACGACCACCACACCAGGACCAGGACCAGGACACACGGCCACTACGACTGCTGCTTAATCGAGCAAAAAGCTACACTCCACACGCACGAATTTGAACCTTACCTCGTTGGACCCCGGCACTAACCCTAAACCCTAAACCCTACAGAGCTCGGACAAGCTGCTCACGTCCTTGAGCATGATGGGTGGATCTAAGGCCTCCGGCAAGTTCGACATGCGAAGGCTTCCCTAGTCCTTTACAGGACTCCGTGGGAGCTTGTCCGGAGTTCAAAAACTTAGTTGCTGAGTTCATAAGCCCCAAACAGTGTACACTTTCAGTTTCATAGCGGGTTATATTATCCCAAAAAGTGCAAAGCGTATCCACTCAGTACTAAGAAAAGTGTCGGTTCAAAGATCAGAGACTTGTGGAGGTTTGGAGTTCAGGAGCTCAGAGGATTCGGATTTAGGGGGTGCTACGCGTTGAGGGCCTCATTACGATGCAGGATTTAGGGTGCCTTTTGGGGGGTTTTGCGCCGTATACATGTATTTGGGAGCCTCAAAAAAAAACAAAGAGACCACGGCCCCCACAAGAGGATCCTGAATACTACGACGAGGAAACCGCTTCAGAGGCTGGCAAATCTGATAAGCTCGAAACCTAGGCCAAAGTATTATGAGGTTGAGAAGTGTAGCGATGTACGGTACCTTCCTGGATGCTAAGTGACAACCGTGAGGCTAGGATCCTTCACCCCTGTAACAGCGCAGCACTGATAGCATGCTAAGTAGCAGCGGGAGTAGTGCCACTGGCAATGCTAGCAATGTCCAGGTATCCACAGTGTTGTCTAGATATCTAACATAACGGCCTAAATAATTGCCAATACTATCGTGGGGGTTCCTTATTGTAATCATAGTATAATATGCCCCCAAACCCTGTTCTAATTATTAAGGCCTCTATATAAGGTGAACAGCCCCAGCTGCCTTCTCATATCCATTGATCGCCGCTGCCGCAGACTTTTCTTCTCGAAAGCTTCCGCGGTGTGTAAACAGCCTTCGCACACTGTCACCCTACTTCAGTAACCTACCCCTTAGCGTCCATGTACCCATTTAGAGATACATGAGCCCCAAAGTAGCTATATAGGGACTACATTAAGGCCAATGTATATACTCTATGAGTACATGGACCCTTATACCCTAAACCCTTATCGAACTCTTATAGATCCCTTAAAGGATCCCTTATGGTACCCTTAAAGGACCCTTAACTATATGAGTACATGGACATAGGGTACTATTTAGGTAACTGGAGCCCTAGGGTCAGGGGTCTTTGTCTGACGATGCAAGTTTACGGTTTAGGGTTTACGGTTTAGGGTTTAGGGTTTAGGGTTTAGGGTTTACGGTTTAGGGTTTAGGGTTTACGGTTTACGGTTTAGGGTTTACGGTTTAGGGTTTAGGGTTTACGGTTTAGGGTTTAGGGTATCTTCGTCATGCGTACCTAACCTTGAAACCAGCCAACGAAGGTGCAAGTCGGCATGGCAGAGGTTCCCATGTAGGGACCGCTTTAAGGCCTATGGTATATACTATATGAGTACATGAGGCCTTATAACTTAGGGCATTTGGGGTTTAGGGTTTAGGGTACATGATGTGTGGTTAAGAACTTACTGTTTAGGTAACTGGAGCCCTTGCGTCTCGCAACAACGATCTAGGGTTTATTGGGGTAGGGTTTAGGGCCGAAACTCCACCTTCATCTGATCCCTAAACCCCAAACCCGAGATCCTAAACTCTAAACCCTACATCCGAAACCCTATCTCATAGCCTACTATAGGGGCCTTAATAATTGGAATAGGGCTTTGGGGCCCTTAATTTATACTATAACTATAATATAAGGAATCCCCCAAAATAGTATAGGTAAGTATATCTCATACTTCAGCCCTCAAGTTTCAAACCCTGACATCCCTAAACCATAAAGCCCTGAACTCTCACAACAGGGTCGCTAGACCCAAGAGTAACCTAAGAATAAAAAGGGTGCCCTTTTTTGGTTTAAAGGGACTCATAAGGGAACCTGAACCCTAACAAAGGGAATAAGGGCCTACTCTAGGTCCTAGGTCGACAGAGTGCACGATGGCAGCTGCGGGACCAATGCTTGTTGTCCAAAGTGGAATCGCCGGCCAAGTAGATGAAGCCTCTGTCGACTTGGGGAATCCTTCTTAGCTTCGTTTCTGTGCTACCATGTTATAGTTACTATCACCGGCACTAGTGCTAGTGATGCTACGTCTGCCATGTATCCAGCTTCATGCAGCTCCTGCCGTCCCTACTATCGGTGTGAATTTCGTTGCATTCACTACTGCTGTGGCTGGTGAAACGTCTTCCAAGAGCTACCATGCACTGACACGTAAAGCTCGAAAGAGGCAGGAATTGGACATGAACGGTTCAAGTCTGTCACCTAGCCAAGTCTTTCACCCAGCCAGCTTGTGCCTGCGTGGCACGGCTCGTGAAAAAGCAAGACGGTGAGCCCTATAGTCTGGGGAGCACTTGCAGGTACACGAACTGTAATTACAGGCGAATTTAAAGCAGATGCGCTACCCTTAGTAAGGTTTTGCTTGGCGGGACGGCAGCTTCAAGTTTCGGGTGCAAGCAAACCCAAGCCCTTGATTGTCCTGGCAGACATATAATATATCTATATATATACACACACACACACACACCTGAGCGCATACATGCAAACATGGATTTTTTGTCTGATTGAAAAGACCTCGGGTTGAGTTGCGCAAAAACCGAGGCCCTGCAACCGTGATTTTGTAGGGCCTAACCTTGGCCTACCAACCCCAAAGCCCAACTCCCGATGATGGATTTAAGCGGTGGGCTTTGGGGATCCAGGGCATTGATTCTAAACCCTCCGGTTGTCATTTTGGGACACGGGCTTCAAAACCTTACCTGGGCCCCAAAAGTATGCAGAATAATGGCCTGTTATAGGTTTTGGGCTGTGATTTTACCTACTTTTGGGGGCTTAGGTAGGTTCCTGTCGCTCACGCCGAGCAACTTTGGGCGCCGTTTGCCCGGAGGGTTTTGACCAAGGGCTCCAGGTGGCCCACCTAAAGGCTCAAGGGGACCTATATCTGGCTTTGTGGGCTTTGAAACGTGCGTACCCAGGGGCTCCATAGTAGTTCCTTTTTGGGGTTCATATTTGGAATCCTATAAGGTAATCCCAAAACGGAACTACTATGGAGCCTCTGGGCACATGTTTCCTGGTGACAGTTCTGTGAGGTAGTTGGCTTTCGGCGTGTAGGCTTGACATCTGGGGTGTCGGCTGGGTTCTCTACACAACACTGTACTGTCTGCACGTGAAAGGCTGATCCCTGTACCGAAAACCCCAAACCCGAAAGCCTAAACCCATAAACCCGAAGGACAAACCTGATATCTCCAACCCTAAATTGGGGTCCCTTTTAGGGTCCTTGTTTGAATCTTGGGGACCTAAAGAGGGACCTTAATTTAGAGAACTACCTATATCGTACCCCAAAGACTTATAACGCAACGCAGCCTACACTGTGAACCTTAGCTTCCTTGACCCTGAAGAACCTACCTTTTTAGGGTTCCCTATTATGATTCCCTTACAGAAGTCCTTAAAAAGGCAGGTTCTTCCGGGTTAAGGTTAGACTTACTCATGGAAAGCTTGTGATTTGAGGCTCAAGGCTCCGACCCACGGTTTGACAATTGGGGTTTCGGCTCTTCATGACATAACTTGCTGCGCTGTGCAGCCCTTACGATTCGATGTTCGGGGTTTTGGGGTTGCTTTTTTTTTCAACCCTCGTGTCTTTTCGCCTTGCAGCATCCAGACTACTGTGCCGGTTGAGGGAGTAGGGGACGACACACGCACACGAAAAGGGTTTTGGGGTTCGGGGCTTAGGGCGTGGAGTGCTTCTCAAGCTTGGGATTTTGTCTAAAGTCGGCTCCCCTTCTCGGAACTTGTTTCAATATGACTTGAAATCATGCGATACGCTCCTGCGCCCGCAAACTCTACAAATATTTGTTTTCCAACTACAACGACGTCGCAACACTACCAGCTCCAAAGACTGGCTTAACGAGTTTATGATACATATGGGAGTTTCCGAAAATTAGGGGTACCTTTTTGGGGGGGTCTCTATAAGAAGGATCCTACTATTTAGGGTACTGTATTAGGGTCCCCTATTTTCGGAAACTCCCATATCTCGGATTAGATTACATGCAACCCTCACCTGAAAACATCCTACCTGCACTTGGAGTTTAGATTCTAGTTCCTCAGTCTCACTATAGCCAGCTTTCTAGGTTGAAGTTTTCGGCTTACGCCGAAGTACCTGGATGATCCTACATGGTTAGCCCCGTCTATTCAGGCAACTGGAGCCCTAGTTGGAGGTTCATGGGTAGTTATAAGAAGGGTTATAAGCAGGGTAACTATACTTATAACCCATCTTAAGGGACTTATAATCCCGCTTATAGCCAATGACCCGTGAACCCCCAAGTGGCGGGTTTGTTGTTGACGAGACTCTTAGGGTCTGGAATCGAGAAGCTCTATGAATTGCACTCGGGGGCTTCAGGTTCAAGTACTTGACGCACTACCTATAGTCTCCATCGTAGCTCCTTTTTTTGGTTAACCAGTTTTATGGTTAGGGTCCTAGAATAGAGTTTTTGGTTATCAAAAAAGGAACTACAATGGAGACTACAGGTAGACTGACCCAGCCAAGAAAAACCCTTGCACCGCAAGAGGCGACTATATCCGGCACTGTAAGCCCAACACCGACGTAAAACAGACCAGTGAACTTAGAAGCACTGAGTTCCACACTCATTCGAAAACAACTCAAGAGCACGGAACACCAAATGGCCTAAAGCCGAACATCCCCGCTCTTCATATTTCTCGCCTTAAAGAGCCCTCAAGGCACAAAATCTTGGAATTCGAAGGTCCACCCCAAATCGGCCTGGTGTCCATGGTACTCTTTGTAGAAGGCTTCTGCGGGGATCCGGGCAGTCGACATGGTCCGAGCAATCATGCACTGCTGGAGGGTAAGCTGGGAGCCACCTTCTTTTTGCTTCGCTGGACGTTCTGATATCTGAGTTCAATGACACCCCGAACCAGCAATGGGTTATGTAATCAGCAGCTGGCATCACAAGGTAGAGGCAGTTTTCTTCGGCTTCCGGTATCTCTGCTTGCGATTTGCTCCTTACTGGCTTGTTTTCTCCAATGCAAAAAAGCGGCGCGCGATGTTTCAGAGACAAGGTGGACAGGGTTTAGGGTTGAGGTTTAGGGTGCAATGACCCTGAGTGCCGGATCGTCTTTACTGTTTTGCCGTCGGTTCCCGAATGGGTTGAACTACTGAACCCGCGGCTTTCTGGGATCGATCTCAGATACTCATGACTAACACTGCAAGAATGCATAAGGCCTCTGAATTCAATCGTCAATGTCTCTGTAATCAACCAGAATGCCGTTTGAGCAGGCGTTTGTCACCCTAAAGGTCCAGGTACTCATATAGTATACACATTGGCCTTCATGTAGTCCCTATATAGGTACTTTGGGGCTCACGTATCTCTATATTATATGGGTACATGGACCCTTAGGGTCAAGCGACTTGAATGGATGTGGCTGAGTGGTTGAGGCACTGGCATCGTGGCCGATGGCATAGAAGTCGCCCGCTTGCACCTCAGCATCCTTACGGTAGGGCTCCAGTTACCTAAATAGTAGGTTACTAACCATATTTTATGTACCTCAGTAACCTTCTATTTAGGTAACTGGAACCCTAGGGTATGATGGGGGGATGGGATGAGACAAACGCAGAACATGCGCAGCATCTGGACCTTTGCTTGTGAAGTTTAAAATGGCTAACACAGCTTCCGCCTGAGATGCAGGACAAGATCAGCTAAGTCAACGATGGCCTAGTAGTCGATGCTGGTGGAAAACAGAAACAGAAACGTGCAAGGGGTTGCAAAGGATATGCAAGGTGTCTGCGGTGACTCCTTCTGTATGGTAGCTAATTAAGGCCTGGACGCGCTTAATTTCTAGTCCTGTTCAGCGTATTGGGGAAAGGAAGTACTTACTATGCATTGAGCACTGGTGAGTTGCTGCTCGAGCTGCTGCTTCCTCATTCCCTTCCTACGCTTCCCCGCGCTGCGCACAAATCTTGGTGTGTGGGTGGTCACACACAGTCTTGCAGGACCATCCTTTCAGTGGATCACAAACCCCAAGACTCCAAACTCTCAACTCTCATCCCAAAGCGCCTGGAAACGCTGGGAGCCAACACGGACGATGCTGGCACCCTCGAGAACGACCGTGGCGATCATGTCGCCACCTGCGGCATGTTTTCGCGTTGTGGTTCGGGGGGAGGGGGGGTGGCTGTGTTTTAAGAGTGGTGTTAAAGGCTACGGACGACAGACGATCTGCTTCTTATCCCTTCATTAAGGATTAAATCATAGTAGGGGGGGGGTCCTGGTATAATTTAAGGTATATTCCTAAATTAAGGGATATTGGAGTCTCTGGGCTTTAAGAGGCTACTAGGCAGCCTGACGCCGCGTCTGAATCCATTTCTGAGCTGCAGGCACCGGGCAGTTTGGTCCCGCAGGTCAAGGCTATGGGTTCGGATCAATTATCCTACTTTTGGCTGCCAGAGGCCCTCTGAAAAGGCACAAACCGTAATTATACATGATATATTATTATGAGAAGTATTGTTATTGTTATCCATTAAATTGGAAATAAGATCCATAGCACCAGGCTCGGGATTCAGGTCTCCTGGCGAAGGAAATGTTAGAAGGACCGAGTGAACTCATTTTGTACCTGGTCTTTGGGACCTTAATTTTGGACTGCCGAAATATTTGTGTCTGTGTGCAGTCAACCAAAGCTTTGCTATACCACAAACTCAAACAGGGTGGTGTTGACTTCTGTGCTGCAGGTTTCTTATGAAAACTCAGTCTAGCACCCAAGCATGATGGGCAGCTTCGGCGTGTTTGGGCCTGATGGCTTGGGCTTAGACCAACAACTTGAGTCCGGTGCCTGATAAGATAGCACATCTTCCCTGATGACTCCACTATCCCTTAAGTCAGGAATATACCCTAAATCATATAAGGGATCGTACTAAGACTATAACTTATGGTAAGTTCACTCTGCCAACGCGTTTGCACAGCCAGGGTGCCTGAAGGAAGTGCATCGCGGTGCGGGGAAACCTAGCGAAAAGGGCCGGAACTTTTTAGAAAGCCTGTCTCCCCGCATCAAAGAATGAAGACGTGGGCAGTAGGCTCCAGGGACTCTAGTTTTCGGATTGAGGTTCTGAGCTTTCGGGCTCAGGGCGGAGACGTCAATTCTTCCCAAGATGCGCGACAGCCTGGCTGGTGCCTGGACATGCTTGGAATATGGACTTTTATGACTGGACTGCGCTCCTGCGTGGAACCTTTGGCCTTGCCCAAAAAAACTTGTGTGCTGTAACCTTGCAGCACCATGGCAGTTTGTGGCTTTGGGCGAAAGAGTTGTTCGCCAGTTTTGGCGTTGGGTTTAAGCCTCCTGTATTTGTGGGCTATCCGAGCCCCTATGTGTGCTATGGTGCACAGCTGGAGGAATTTTGTAGGCGAAAGTTGCGCCTCAAAGTACGTAAGCCCAGGAACCTGCAATGACACAACTACCGGCCGGATTCGATAAGGTGTCCCTCTAAGCCCCAAATCCCAATCGAAAGACTCCTAGAGCAAGAACCGCGACCAGATATTGGGGGAACCTTGTAGATTCTGAAATCTTCTGAAACCTTCCAAATGATGTAAATGCGCACTCAGACTGTACATACTCAAGAAAACCTCTTCATGCGACGGCTGAAACACGTGAAACGTTATAAAGCGCCTGGCAAGAAAGCGTTCAAGTTTGACAACCAGCATTGCAGCGAAGCCGCGCTACTGTATCTCTCGCATCCTCTGTCACCACTTGCCACGGCTGCTAGACATCGTACAAGTGCCTTGTTGTGACCATGATAATTCTAGTTGGCAGCACCCATTGCGACTAGCATCTCTATTCAGTTCTCTATCGATCACAAGTATAGTATTGCTATTCTGAGTCCTGACGCTCTGTTTCCTGAGTACTCCCCCCAAGAACCTCCGCGCCGGCTTGCAGCGCCTCTGGCAGGTGCATTCAAGAAGCGGAGTCTTTGCGAAATCATTTTTTAGGACCATGACCTCAAGCATGAACCCTGAACTCTAACTCTAAACCCTGACACTCACTTAAACTGCAAAGTCGGAAGTGGTCGAGAGCTTCTTTCGCGAGGCTCTGGCATGCAGCTTCACTCTGACATGGTTACTCGGGCCCATTACCCAAAGGGTCCTAGGCAATAGTAATTCCAAACATAGAAACCATACGTTCTATCATTGAATCATATAGGTACTCCAAATAAACCCTACTCTAAACCCCAAACCCTCAAAGGAACCCTTACATTAGGTAACCCTTAGAGGAACCTCAACATAGGTACTTTGGACCCGTTTGGTTAGGGCCCAAGACATCAGGGCTGTGAATTTCTAGAATCCTGGTTGAGGCTCCGGGTCTGCCAAGGATTTGGGCCTAGGGGCTTTCGGCGTTCAGTGCCCAGGGGCTCGAACAGCCCTTAAATAAGGAATATATACCTTAAATCATATTAGGGGCCCTATTATAGTTTAAGGTATATTCCTTAACTAAGGGATATCCTTATTTCTTATAAGGATCCTACTACTTAGGGTGCTATGTTAGAGTCCCCTATTTTCGGAAACTCCCATATTGAAGTCTCTGGGTGTCCAGCTTGATGTAATGCTCTAGCGCTCCAGTTACCTAAATGATAGGCTACTGGGGTACACAGTATACGATCAGTAACCTACTGATTCAGTAACCGGAGCTCCAGGGATGTCTATAGCGTCATGACTAGCTGGTAGTGACAGAGCGAATCGGTAAATAGCAGTGTGAGCTTCAAAACCCGACACTTTCTCGCAGCTTGAACCGAACCCACAGCACATGAGGCCTTACTGCTGTAAAGGGCACCTGAGACACGCAGCCCTGTACGCCACGCAAGAAACGAAGGTTTTACTTTCTCCAAACTGCGAAAAGCACACGTTTTGAACTCATGTACTAAACCTTATTGTCCAAAGCATTCAAACCAGCTTCACTAACCAAGCCCAAAGCCCTCAAACCAGCTCCACTAACCAATATCCACCCTTTAGCACGAAGCCTTTTAGCTAAACGTCCCCCAACCTGCTTTTGTTCCCTCAACCTGCTGAGACCGGCCACCGCAGGCCTGGGCCTGAACAAAGAGGCAACGCCGGTCCCCGAAGTCGTCGATGAGCTGCCTCTAAAGGCCATATAGTGGGCAAAAAGGGAAGGGTCTGAGGCTTTTTGAAGCGGATTTAGGTTTGGGCCTTCTTTGTGTTTAGGGGAAAAGTGCGGATTTGGCAAATCAGGCTTGTGATCCGTGATGTTGGGGATGATCTCTTAGTAGTTTCTGTCAGTCGTATTTGCAAGCTGTGCCCTGCGGCTTGCAGTTGGTATGAAGATTTGCCAAGCAACGGTGCCAGCTGCTGTAGCCTCCACAGCCTCAGCGTCGCCATGCCAAGGGGATCTAGATAATTAGAATAGAGTTCTGGGGCCCATTATACTAGAGTTGAAACAAGGAAACCCCAAAAATAGTATGGGTAATTGTTTGGGCCCGAGCACATGGGCATGTGGTCAGGGTCCACCGGAACATCCTCGTTCGCATGCACTTGCCCTGGAGCTCCAGTTACCTAAATGGTCGGTTACTAAATTATCATATTACAGTATGTAACGCAGTAACCGATTCCGCAGGTACCTGGAGCCCAGGGCGAATTAACGTCTACTTGAAGTTTGAATGATGAAAATGCAGCAAGGTCTGCTTCGATGATGGTAGGAAACGAATAATTCATCTCTGACGGCGAACGCCTTACGGATGACGGCCAATGACGGCCCTGCCGGTCTCGTGGCATGCAAAAGCACTATAACCTCTTAACCCTAAAGTGTAAACCGCATATGCCCAAGCCACAGTAAACA